TAGAAGCCTACCACAGGGTTCCATAGTGACAATCCTTTGAGCTTTCCCAGGAAATGAAAGGCTTCCAGTGAAGAGCAACAATAGCTCTGAACAGTGGGAATATTTGGGATGGAAGCCAGCAACAAAGAGTCACTCACCCAGAGTGGTAATTTGGAAAGAATTGTTGCTTTGTACTGCAGAGCACCCGGACACAGCTGGTGCACTGGCTAACCTGAGGATTTGTATTAACTGTATTGAAATGGTAATGAAGTTTTATTTTATGATTGCAGATGTTTGTGGATTATTGTTATTAAGCTTATTAGGGTAACAGAACAAATATGAGATTTTATTTACGGGGGGGGGCTTCCTCATGGTAGCTTTGTTAAAGTCACTTTAAACAAATAAACCACAAAAACTGGAAGGGTCACATCGAAGCCAAATTGGGGAACCACCAGGCAACCCTCACAGAACAGGATTTCAACCTAGTGAGGACCCTTCTATATTTGGAGGAATGTTCTTAGTGAGACAGTGTGAAATGGTGACAGCATACTTGAACTGAGAATCAGAAGACTTAGGTTCAGAAACTTCAGGTCCTGACTCAGCTGCTTCCTCCTTTGTGACCTTGGGGAAGTCATCACACTCCTCTAAAGACTCAGTGTCCTCATCTGTAAACTGAAGGAATTGGACTAGACCAGGAGTTCTTAACCTGGGATCTGTAAGCTTGGAGAGACAGAGAGAAACAGAGACAGGGAGATGGATAAATAGTTGGATGGATGGATGACTAGATAGATTTGCTAGAGAAAGATAAAGAGAGGTAGAGAGAGAGAGAGAAGGATGAATAGATGCATGGATGGATATACAGATAGATTGATGGCCAATGGATGGATAGATGATGAACAAATAGAGAAATTGATGGATTGCTGAATAGATAGAGGATGGATTGATTACTGAATGGATAGATAGATGATGGATGGATGGATGGATGGATGGATGGATGGATAGATGACATATATATTTATATACATATGTTTATGTATGTATTTTTTGATGATTGAATTTCAATATAATTGGTTTCCTTTGTAATTCTATTTATTTTAGGCATTTAAAAACATGAGCTGTCCATAGGTTTCACCAGACCTCATCATACCCCAAAATTGTTAAGAACCCCTAGCCTAGATGACCTCTAAAGGGCCTTCCAGCTGTGCTTCATATGGCATGAGTTCCCTCAGCATTTTTATTTCTACAAGACATGTGATTTTACTCCAGTGTGGCATAATGTATAGAGTGCCAGACTTGGTATTCAGAAACCATGGGTTCTAAACCTGTCTCAGATACTTACTAGATATGGAATCCTGGATAAGGTGCTTAGCATCTCTCGACTTCACTTTTCTTGTCTGTAAAATGAGGACAATCTTCCTAGAGAACCTCCTTCTGGGAGTTATGAGACTCAAACATGATCTTGTGTAAAAAGGATTTTGCAGGCATTGAAATATTCTACAAATATCAGCTATTATTATCACATATGTTATGATCAATTATCAATCATAGCAATTTAGAGATAGAGCCCTACACATGAAGAAATTACAGAAATCGTGATTGATAGATAGATATACATACATACATTATATATAATATACATTTATATATAAAAACTGGGTTATAATAATAACAGCTCAAATTTATACAGTTCTTCAAGATTTTCAAAGGTTTTTGCTATTCCATGCTGGCTGTGGTCATCTGCAGAAGGGGAGGGTTCTTTATGAAATATCGTGATTAATAAATAATTATCTTACACACCATACATAAATTACCAATTTTCTAGAATATGTTTTTCAAATTTTATAAATAATTTGTCTCTTACAAAGAACAATTGGCCCATCTAAATCACAAAACCATTAACTCAAGATATCCAAATTAGGTTTTATTAATAAAATAGGTAACAACTAATTTGTAGATCTTAAATTGCCAGTTTTCAAGTAATTGTGTCAATATTCTAGGAGATCTTTGATCTCATCAAAGTAGGCACAGTACAACAACTTATCCATGACTTCTAAAATTGTGTTTAGCATGATCTTAATTTGAAGTGTATTTAAACTTCTTGATGATTTAGAAGGCAATCTAAAATGGTGAACATAAACTATGATCAAAGGCAGGGTGGTATAGAGAAAGAGCCTTGGAGTTAAAGGGAAACAGCCTGGGCTCCAATCCCAGCTCTTCTACTTATTACCTGTGTGACTTTGGGCAAGTAGTTTAACCACTCTGGGCATCAGTAAAATACATGGAGGGAATCTATAAGGCCCCTTCCAGTTCTACATCTATGATCTTATCACTGTATGATAGAGGCCTAGAAGGATTGATTAGTAGAAGAGTTTTCCAACTGATTATAATTCACCTTTTATAATATTTTACTTTTTCTTTCCTAGTCATAAGGATAAAACACACATATCTAAAGAAAAATGATTATCTAAAGAATCTAATTTCTCATTAACTGTTGTTAGCCTTAGAATAGAAAATTCAAAATTTCCCCAATTATATCACACGCAAAAAGTCATCATCCTTCATGTCATGAAACTGGTTTATACTATCTGGCAAAATGTCCATGCTTAAGTTCAACTATTCATATATTCATATTTCTCTGTTTCTTCTGTGAGGACTATTGAAGGAGGTGGCTATTTAAAAATGCAAGATACACACTGATTTCAAGTCATTGTTCAGATTTGAATCATCCTGAACTAAAACTCCAGTTTTCAAATGTGCATTTTCCTACAGTTTTTTTTAAAAGATTTCATTAAAATTTGATATGTGGTTAGAAATTGAAACCAGGATAAAAATGAATTTTAAAATTTTATCGTATTAGATGAAGGCTAACATTCTTATAAAGTACTAGACTTGGAGGCAGGAAGCCCTGAGTTCAAATCCTATCTCCAATACCTACTATGCGACACTGAGTAAGTCATTTAATTTCTCTGAGACTCAATTCCCTCACATATAAAATAAGGATTGCATGAACTTTAAGGTGACTTCTAGGTCTAAATCTATAATCTTATCCTACGATTCATTGATATTTTCTCTTTATATAATTAAGCATATTAATAATCTAATATTATCATTTAACTAATATCTATTAAGGACCTACTGTGTGCAGGACATTACAGAAGATACAAAGATAAATGAGACACAGTCCATTCCATGCTCTCAAGTGTCTTATGATAGAATAGAGGATGTTAAGAAATGTGTGCAAAAACTACAACACAACACAGAACGTTATAAGATACAAACAAAATACTAGGGGAGTTCATAGAAAAAGTCATCCCTCTCTAGCCTAGAAGATCTGAGAAGCTTTCAGAGGACATGACCTTGAACCAGGACATGAATGGAGACAGAGTGGTAAAAAAAATAAAAATTTTTAAAAAAAAACCTGTCCTGGGAATCCAACGAGCAGGACATAAACTGTAGCTCTCTTGCTTTCTGTGTGACTTTAGAGGAGTCCGTTAACCCTTCTCAGGCCTCAGTTTTCTTTTCTGTAAAAGAGGGTGCTGGAAAGACTTACATGAACTGATACAAAGTGAAGTGAGCAGAACCAAGAGAACATTGAACACAGTAACAGCAATACTGTATGATGAAGAATTGTGAATGACTTAGCTCTTCTCAGCAATACAATGATCCAAGACAATCCCAAAGGATTCACGATGAAGCATGCTATCTGCCTCCAGGGAAGGAGTTGATGTTGTCTGAATACAGACAGAAGCATACTATTTTTCACTTTCTTTTTCTCATTTCTTTCTCTTCCTTCTTTTCTTTCTTTGTTTTTTGTTTTGAGTCTTCTTGCACAAAATGACTTATATGGAAATGTTTTATGTGACAGCACATGTATAACCTATATCATATTGCTTCCCGTCTCAGGGAGGGGCAGAGAGGGAGGAAGGGATGCAATTTGGAACTCAAAACTTTAACAAAAATAAATTTTAAAAATGGTTTTTACATATAATTGAGGGAAATTATTTTTTAATCCTGAGGGGTGGTGTCATCATAAAACAAAAGTCACAAGACTGTTGTGAGGGAAATACTTTGTACAACCATCTGAGTTGGAGCTGTCATTTGTAAAAGTCAGAGTCAATTGTGTAAATCAATCAAATCAGCTCTCCCCTCCCCCCCCACCGCTTAAAGTAATGATCAAGTTGCTAAGCCCTGATAGATTTAAAATACATAGAAAAGATCAGAGGGAGATACTGACAAACAGGACAGCTTTGAAACAAATTGTTGAATGTATTAAATATGTTTTAAAAAGGAAACAAGGTAGTCTCAGAGAGAAAGATATGAGGTTTCATATGTAATCCTCTTTTTTGTTGTTTTTTTGTATATGGAAATGCTTGTGTTTGTTGGGTTCTGTCAGATTTGGAATACCAAAAAAAAAAGATTTTAAGACAACCTGATTTCAAGTCCTCCATCTGACACTGCTGGCTATGTAACCTTGGGCAAGTCACTTAAGCTCTCAATACCAACCTAAGACTGTACGTTACAATTGAGATAGTGATGTATGCTGAGGGAGGAAACTTCTACACTGGAAATTCCCCATGCAGAGGAAGTCATACGTTTAGCCAGCCCCCTCCTATATTAAATAAATACATAGATACAGATTTGGATATCAGTATAGATACAGCCATAAAGATGCAGCTTTAGTGAAGGGAGTGGGGGGAGAGGAAGGATCTCAGGTAGAGGAACTTCCATAAACAAAGGCATGAAGGCTATAAAACACAGACCTTGTTAGTAATACAACTAATAGTTGAATCTGTCTAAAATAGAGGGAACGTGAACGAGATTGGTGTGAAACAAAGCTTGAAAGGTAGTTTGGAACTCAACTGTGGCACACTTTGTGCTAGTGCAGAAAAGAGGGCAATCCATCTGAGCTACTTCAGTGAGAAGGCACCATATTTGGTCAGTAATCCCGAGAATCATGCCATCAGCCCCTCTCTTGCCCTAGGTCTGCTGGAAGCACATAGAAGGAGAGAAGCCCAGCTTTCCCTGCTGGCATTTACAAGCTGGCTTTGAGTCACCTGTCTGTGCAAAGTGCCAGAATCCAGGAGAGAGGAAACAGGTAGGACATTGTCTGAGCAGGACCATGGAACTTTGGGAGTAGAGTTTCCCAGAGTACTTTTCCCTTAAGCCATGAATATTTGTTGGAGATGGAGTAGGGGGTGAGGGAGAGGGTATAGACTGCTGCTTGTTTGTCAGGCTATGCTGAGAACCCATCAACTCTAGGTCTTTGGCACAGAAAACACCGGAGAGATTTGGCTTTTACTGATCGATTTCACCTGGGTGCTATCTTTGAACCTTATGAGACAGTGTGGTGCCCTGGAAAAAATTTGGGGTATAGAATTCAGAGGTCCTGGGTTTGAATCCTGGCTTTCCCCTTTCTACCTGTATGAACTTAACAAGGGAAATCACTTAATCTTGTTAGTCCTCAGTTTCTTCATGTGTAAAATGAAGAGGTGGCACAAAGTGACTGCTCAAACTTTAAAAGTCATAATCTTTATGTCAATGTGAAAAATCAGGAGGGATTGGACAATTTAGTGACCTAGAATGCCAGGCTAAGGAATTTGGAATTTATTTGGAAGCTCTTAATAAAAGCTGGGAAGCATGGCATAATGGATAGAGAACCAGCCTTGGAATCAGAAAGATAGAAGTTCAAATCTTGCCTCTGACATTTACTGGCTATGTGTCACTGAGCAAGACTCTTCACCTCTGATTACTCCCAGGAAATTAAGACTGTGTTGGAGAAGGTAAGTATCTGCATTGGTAAAGAAAATCCCTCCCTATACTGAGGAAATCATATATCCAGATGGCCAAAACAAATAAGCAAAAACCCATTCACTTAATAATAACTCTAATAATACAAAGATTCATTCATTTGATCCTCTTATAAACCTAATGAGGCAATCAAATACAAGATATGTGTTGATTTCAATTTGTGGTTCAAGCATGAACCATTCTGAACAAAATCGGCACTTTTCAAAGGTGTACGTTGACCATTACTCTTTTTTTACAGATGAGGAAGCAGAGGTTCTTATCGGTGGCTTGTCCAAGATCATACCACTAGCAAGAGCCTGGACCTAGTTCTTCAAATTCCACATCTTAGTCATTGGTTATCCCCAGTGACATGAAAGGGAAAAACTTTGTAGAATCCAGATAACTATCTGTGTATATTGGGGAAATCACTTAACCCCTCTGGCCCCTGAGTCTGCTCATGTGTAAAATAAACAGGTTGTATCAGATGACCTCTAAAGTCCTCTCCAGCTCTAAATATACACTCTTATGCTCCTAAAATTAATTCAACTGGTTTGTTTTCCTATAAAACCAAAATCGTTGCTTTGTTTTCCCTCTTTGATATTAAACAGATCCCATCATTCTCTCCATCCTTACCATAAAGGGTATGTGTTCTGGGTCTCTGGCTTCCTCAGTCTATTCATTGAAGCTATTAACAGCATCTCTGCCTATTCATGGGTACGGCTACTTTTGTTCTTGGATTAACAATGTAGAACAAATTGTTTACACCCATCACATTTTTACAAGTTGAATAACAAGGTTTTGAGGTGTTTTCTTTTAATGATCTACAGTTATTCAGGGGGAGGAGAAGAAATCAAATTCTCCAAAACATGAATGTTCCTAAGAAACAGCTTTTATTAACTAGGGACTGTGTGTTGCTTTTATTCTGCGTGAGAAATGGTCATAAGTTAGATATGTTGTTGTTACTCTTGAGTCTTTTAGTCATGTCTGGCTCTTCGTGACCCCGTGGACCATAGCACGCCAATACAGTCCGTGGAATTTTCTTGGAAAAGATACTAGAGTGGTTTACCATTCCCTTCTCCGGTGGATTAAGGCAAAGGAGTTAAGTGACTTACCCAGGGTCACACCACTAGTAAGTGTCTGAGGCTGGATTTGAAATCGAGTCTTCCTGACTCCAGGCCCTGCACCTACCTCCAGGTCTATTTTTAGGAAACTTCAACTACCATGCCCTATTTCTGACTTTTTCTGAAAGCCAAATGACTTCAGAAAGCACAGTGAAAAATCTCATTTTGCTAAATAAATGGCTTGGGGAACAAACATCCCTAAAATAAAAAGCGATTAATTTGTGATAATTTCAAGTTATTCAGTCCTATGCTCTGGTGCCCCACATTAAAAGGTCATTTTCTAATGCTAGATTTTTGAAGTCTGACTCAGAAGAGTATAAATTCTATAAGGTTTGCCCAAAATGCATAGGCCCGGAGACAAACTCTAGGGGTGTGGTCTTAGAACCATTCTAAGTGAAAAGCTCATCTCCCAAAGGTTGGGCACCGGGCAATGAATTTTTTTTTCAACTATGGCAACTGATGACCAAAGAAAAACTGTGTTCTGTCAGTAGAAAGAGCCCAATGGCCACATCTGTGAAGCACTGAAATAAATGCAGTATTCCCTACTGTATGGAGCAAAGAGGACTATGGGAAAATAAGTAGACTGTGGCATTTGCTTGGCACATAGTATCCTCTCATTAAATGTTTGTTAAATTTCCCAAATAATATCCCAGGCAAAAATATAGCCAGAAAGGATAACTTCAGGTGAGATAACTTACAACTAGATTGTAAGCTCTATGAGGGCAGGAAAACATCCAACTGATGCTTACGGAAGGAATGGATTTTGCTCATTTACCTGTTGTGTATTTATCTTAGCTTCTTCACCCAGAGAGTAAATAGAAGAACCAAAGTCAGAGGACTCATTTTAGATATTAGAAGAGCTCTTCATTAATTACATCTCAATTTTATTTTATCGTGAGATAAAATATGACTTAGGGCAAGAGGATTGCTAACAATTCCTTAGCAATGCAACAGAAAGAAACTACTCTCTTGTTGATAGATATGGAAACTGAGCATTCCATTTTAGACACCTTAGCCCCAGTCATTCTCATCCAAGGGTCTAATACAATCCATCCTCAGGGAGTTCAATAAATACTCATTGATTGTTTTTTTTTGTTTTTTGTTTTTTGCTTTTTTAGGCAATTGGGTTTAAGTGACTTGCCCAGAGTCACACAGCTAGTAAGTATCAAGTGTTTGGTCTGAGGCCAGATTTGAACTCAGATCCTCCTGTCTTCAGGGCCAGTGCTCTATCCACTGTGCCACCTAGCTGCCCCTATAATACTCATTGATTGACTGACTCTTCAGAACCAAATCATATCCTAATTAGGATGAAATATTAGCCCTCCCTACTTCAACTACAATGCCAAGTTACCAAGTGGAGGTAACTTGGTAGATAGAATGGATAAACTGAAGAACTTTTGGAGTCAGGAAATACTGGGTTCAAATCCCACTTCTGATATCTACTGACTGTGTGACCTTGTATGATCATTTCCTCTTTCTGAGCCCCCATTTCATCATCTGTAAAATGGGAACAATAAAAACCATAGAGGCTGCTGCTTCATAGTGTGGTTACAAACCTCAAATGAGATCACATATGAGAAGCATTTTGCAAACTTTAAAGTGCCATGTGAAAGTTATTCACTATTATTAGTCAGCAGTTATACCAATGAAAGAGCATGACCCAGTGAAAAGAACAATAGTTCTTGAGCCAAAGGACCTGGGTTGAAATCCAGCCTCTCATGTTTACGATATGTATGACCATTAGCAAGTCATTAAACCTCCATGGGGCAGCTAGATGGCACAGTGGATAGAGTGCTGGGCTTGGAATCGGGAAGACTCATCTTCTTGAGTTCAAATCTGGCCTCAGACACTTACTAGCTGTGTGACCCTAGGCAAGTCACTTTACCCTGTTTGCCTCAGTTCCTTCATCTGTAAAATGAGCTGGAGAAGGAAATGGCCAACCATTTCAGGATTTTTGCCACAAAAACCTCAGATGGGATCACAAAGAGTCAGACAAAACTGAAATAACTGAACAGCAGCAGCTAACCGCTGTGGGCCTCAGTTTCCTTATCAACAAAATGTAGGGATTGGGTCTAGATCAGGGTTCTCACCTAGAGTCCATGGACAAATTTCAGGGGAGAAAATCACTTCCTGGTTTTCACTAGCCTTCCTTTGTAATCCTATGAGCTTTATTTTATGCATTTAAAAACATGATTCTGAGAAGGGTTAGAAAAGAACATTAAAAAAAGAATTAATGTTTCTGAAAAACAACTTTGTTAAACTGGAGCTATCCACTGCCTTCATTCTGCATGCAAAAATGCTCCTAAATTAGGCTTATTTTTAGGAAATCTCAACTACCATCCCCTATTTCTGACTTTTTCTGAAAGGCAAGCAAAGTGCCTTCAGAAAACACATTGAACAATCTTATTCTGATAAATAAATGATTTAGGGAGCAAACATCCTTAAATTTTTTTAATGCAGCTAATCTGAGATAATTATAAGTCAATATCTATTCAGTCCTGTTCTCTAAGACTGCTTTGCCGGATTCTCCTAAGCAGTCCACCACACAGAAAAAGGTGAAAAACCACTGGCCCAGATGATGTCTAAGACCCCTTTTGCCACTAGGTCTGTGATCTGATGATCCTCTCAACAGTCTTTCAAGTTTCCAAAGCTGACCCTATCCTAGTAACAGAGGCACTACTGGGAAGTTGCAAAGGCTGTGAGTATAGCCAGGTATCTATCATTCAAGGACAGCCTGCCTAAGTTAGGAGGGGCTCCTTACTAGAGGATAGACAGGCCACCATATGATGAATGATTTGGTTCACAGTGACTCATCAAACCAGGCTGTTATCCATGTTAGTGGAGGGAATGCCCATACAAGTATCATCCTGAAACCTCCAATGATTGAAATCCAACATTCACCCTCATCATAATACTTCCCATAAAGTCCATATACTACTTCTCCTCAGGGATAAAACCTCCCTTTTCTTGGCTCAACCTGATAAGAGGATGAACAGAGTCCTACTGTGTTGATAAAGAGAACCAAATTTTAAGCATATCCTTCTGAGCAACACAGCCCAGCTATCCATCAATGCTAGCATCTGTCCTCAACCAGAATTCAGGCAACAGAATTTCCAACTGATGAGACGAATTCAGTCACAAATTCACTGTGTCTCATGAAACCTGAACAACTAAAAATGCCAATGTCGCTATTTTACCCTGACCACTGGAGCCAAATGGATTTCCACACTTTCCCTACAATGTTTGTAAAAGTGAATATTTGAAGGATCTGTGTTTTCATGGGCATAGGGACGAAAGAGAGAAAGAGAGAGAGAGAAAGAAACTTGCTCAAAAGCAGCCTTAACATTTGTAGAGTTTACTTAGTAAGGGGCAGAGATGAAGCTGTCACCTGCCTCTCTATTCTCCACACTGCCCACTAGGACTGGTTCAATGGAGTGGTCATAGGGCACATCAAAAAGCAGGGCTTTGCAGTGTATCATGGGGTACTTCACTGGACTTCAGTGACTGGAAGAGAGAATGAGGCTGCCTACTTTGCACAGCTTTGCCTCAGTTAAATCCAATTCACCTGCAAGTCAAGATATCGCCTCGTGATGCCATTGGTCCTCTTCAAAAATGAAGCACAAACAACAGGTCATTTGTTCCTCAAGGCAAGAGTGGTGTAGCATAGGGTGGTGTACCAAGATGAATTGGCTTTTCAGGTGCCAAAATGGCAGGCAAGGATGCCCATGAGTAGCCCTGGTGCAGCAAAGGGGCCCAGTGGATAAAGCTCTGAACTCAGTATTAGGAACAGATGAGTTCAAATTCTCCCTGGGACTCTTGCTAGCTGTGTGTAAGTCATTTAACTTCTGTAAGACTCAGTTTCCACATCTGTAAAATGAAGATAATATGACCTACTTCTCAGGGTTGTTGTGAGGATAAAATGGGGTAATATTTATAAAGAGCCATTTAAACTTTTAAATACTATGTAAAAGCTATCATTATTATTATTATCATCATCACCATCATTATTATTATCAATTAATTAGAAGCTGGCAGTTCATGTTGATTGATCTGGGTTTTTTAGGGGTCATCTAGGTTAGGCTTTAGGAGAATGAATGAATGAATGAATGAATGAATGATGAATGAATGAATGAATGAATTCAAAGTATTCATTAAGAGCTTACTATGTCTCCAAAGGCCTTGCGATGGAAAATGCTAACCACATCCAAAGAAAGAACTATGGAAGTTGAATTGTTATTTTTTTTTCTCTTCTGTTGAGTTTTGTTTCCTCTTTCTGGTGGTTCCTCCTATTGGTTCTAAATTTTACTTAGAACATCTCTAATGTCAAAATATGTTTAATAGGAATATACATGTATAGCTTATAT